AAAACCTAGGTGCAGCATGTGCGAATCAACAGAACACAATGCACGTACGTGCCCTAGGCGGCAGGCAGCTAGCTAGTATGTAGCTGCATCAAATATATTTGTTCGTGGTGGAGTAATTCGGAATATTTGGCCTCGGTAGCGTGGTTGGGTGGGCCACTAGCTTGTGCGGGCCACTAACTTGTGGATTACGTTAGCTTTGATGGCAAGCTTATTAATGCAGTTCTTGCCTCAGGCCTCCACGGCTGATGCCTTGGTCTGCGACACACCCCCCCAGATTTCACTCTGTTTCAGATAAGGTCTGAACGTCTTATAGACTATCCTTTTCTGATGCGCATCCTGGATTAATCCGCGATGAGATATCAACCAGGCCTAGTTGGCGTACAAAGTGTGCGTGTTTCTCTGTTAAGAGGGGCTTTGTGAAGCCATCCGAAGGCATGCCCGTGGTCGGAACCCACTGGACTACAACTTTGCCACTTTGATAGATCTGCCTCAGCCATAAGCTATAGATATCGACGTGTTTTAGTTTTAAGGTTAACTATAGCCTCTCTTTCTGGATTAGGCCTACTGTCTGCTAATTATTACAGAGAATGCAAGGTTGTTGTTCTGGATTAAACTATACCTGTGCGAACAGCCTATATAGACCTATTGTCTTCCTCGCCGTGTATAACAGCAATAAGAGCTCTGCTTTAGTTGTAGATGTTGTAACAGTCTTCTGTTTAAAGGACTGCTATATAATTAGTCTATTAAACAGCTTTATAAGGTAACCTTGCGTGGATTTTCAAGTCTCTGGATTATCCGCGAACGATGCGTTGCTTAACAGCTGCAGCACTTTATTATCGCCTGTCTCTACTACTATAGAATTTACAGAGCCTAAGAACTTAATAGTATAGTACTTTATAGTCTGGAGATATAAAAGAACTTAATTTGCGTATTATAAGTGCTCTAGTAAAGGGTTTATTATAAACTAACTTAACTAGCTAGCTGTAAATAAGACATCTGGTCTTAATACTACTACTGCGTATAATATTAAACCTACCTTTTCCTGCATCTCTATAACTTACTATATAGTAGCCTGTTCTTCGAAAGGTTAGGGATAATATAATAAAGCGAGAGGTGTATAAACTATTTTCTATAACTTATCTATCCTATATTTAGTGCAGATTTTATTAATATATCTATTCTAATAGATCTAAAGCTTTTTATCTATTACGTCTCGCAGGATCCTAATATTAAGGAAGGAGATTACTTCGCTTAAATCCTTAATCCTATACTTACTATTTACTACTAACTTAAATTGCTTAATATAGTAAACGCGTTTTTATTCTAAAATAATAAGGAGATTGTCTATATAGAAAAATAGGATAAGGCCTGTCTTATTATTAATAAGGATGTATAGTTTATCTGGGCAATATTTAAATCCTAGACTGTTAAGGAATAACACAAGTTTATTAAACTATAGCTTTAGTGATTTTTGCAGGCTATAGAGCGCTTTAAGCAATTTCCAAACCTTTCCTAGTATTTTATACCCTAGTAGACAGGCAGTATAGATCTTATTATCTATATCGGCGTTAATAAAGGCGTTTTTAAAGTTAATTTAATAATATAGAAGCCCTAATATATAGATAAGTACTATAAGGATATAAAAGCTCTAATACGCCCCTATAGCTGTATAGATATTGTTAGAAATATTATATTAAAAATTACCTTTTATATATATTTAAGCTTTATAATAAATAAGGTAGCTAGCGGCGTTGAATTTATACGTGAAAACCTATTTAAGCGGTAGTACTTGTTTATGCTCCGGGTAATTAATAAGTTTAAAAGTATACTTATCTTTAAGTAACTTAATCTCGGCATTTATAGCTTGCTTAAAACCGTCCCTTTCTAGATAACGCTTTAGCTAATACCAGAATTCCGGTAGTAGTATTAAGTCCTTTTAATAAGTTCTTAGAGTCCGCG